CAAAGTGTGTGTACTTGGCATGTGCCTACATGTACATGTAGGTCTACCAGGCAATGGCAGGTACATGTAGCTTTCATCATATCCAAAACGTGTGTATTAATTAAAGTTGAAGACCTACAAGTATGTCTTATCAAGGGCCTTCTTCTTTTAAAGAGAACAGAATGCTTGATGAGTTTTGAACTTCCAATAGCTGTGACTAATTGATGCTCTAAAATGGCATTCAGATAGTTGTGAATGCATTTAGACATGTGACAGTTACTATGGTTATCCCCCAAACCATGGGGTGAAACAATAAAACAATAAGGCCAGTACTTGTAGGGATAGGTGACAGTAGACCCATATTGAATTTAAAGAGGGTTCAGTTATGTGGGAAAGAGGATAGGGTTGTGATTTACATGTAGGAAGGCAACGTGTATGGTGAACCATGATTTGGATCATGGCCTTGAAATGTATATACCTGTATATTACGATCCATTTGTATTCATTGACCTGTTTTTCTAATTTCTAAAATATTTTTTATTTCAGAAGAGTCACAGTCAAATGATATCAATGTTAACCAGAAGCCATGTGAAGAGGATGCAGATTTTGCAGAGACATCAGAGAAATGCTCTGTCCAACAGTTGTTATTGATTAATCAGGAAAGCCAAAGGAATCTAGAAGACTTGTTGATTAAAGTACGAGAAGAACTTGCAAGAAATATAGCAGAACAGGTAAACATGATGACTCTAGCTTTCAGAATTAATTTGAATTTTTTCAGAATCTTTTTTGCAAGTGGTTTCAATCAGCAAGAGCAAACACGTACACCATGCACTTCTCTCTCTTTCAGATGGTAGCATTTTTTTTAAGAAGTGTTTAATTTATGGTTTTTTTTTGGGCGGGGGGGGTGCCTGCACTATAAAATATTTTGTCAGCTTTTATGTTGACAGTACCTGAACATTAATGTGTTGATGTTATTTTTACCCCAAGGCAAAAGTTTCTGCTAATCCAAGTGATATTGATGAGAAGAACATTGACCTGAATATCCAACGATTCTTCAGAAATTATTTTGAAGATAACAGTGGAAGGGTAAGAAGGAGGATGCATTTTAAGATAATACCAGTAGCTTTTGTTTGGTACAGTCTATTCTCAGTATGGATCAAAACCTAATGCAATGAGATGGAAATTACCGCATCAGCTGGTGAGAGTTGATGCCCCTGAAGATATTAGGCTTAGGGGAAATCTTTAGGACCTGGAATTTTTTTATAGACATAATGTTTATATATGTCCTAATGTCAAAGTGTCAAAATGACCTTGAACTCATTGTGTGTAATTTGGTCTTGTACTTCAAAGCATGTGAATGAGGAAGTGGATTGTCAGTTTTTCTTCAAGCAAACATGATCCCGATCATTACCTTGATCCTGATTGTCCAATCAATTGTAATAGTCTGTGCTACATACATTGCATATGTATGTATGTATACATAGGCTCGCCATCATGACCATGTCCATAGTATTGTGCATGTACGTGAAATGTGTTCCTACAGGGAGAAGATTCAGTATCACAGTCCATTCTGAATTCAAAAATTGTGCACATATATACATTTTACGTGTAAGTCATTATGTGCATTAAATTTGTGTGAATATCAACATACAGTGTACTATTCTGTTAATGTATGTCTTTCCCTCGTATTTTGGACACAGATGTATCATATTATTCCATGTTCCACTCACAGTAACTTTGAACTGAGTCAAAGTGTTTTTGATGAAATGTCAGTGATCTGAATCATTTTCCATTTGAATGATGAAGTTAGCCATCTCTGGGTATTGTAGAAAATAATGAAGTTCGTGTATTTTATTTGAAACTTTATGAGAAATCCTCAATTAAGTGCACGTTTGAATCATGGGAAACTCAAGAATTATACGCAAGCACATTGTTTATGTGACTTTTTTGTGAGATCAGTTTCTTTTGTTATGTTACAGACACCTCCTTACAATGATGAAACGAAACAAAAGAAGGAAGCCAACATGCCTAATCCCTTTGATGTTCCACGGTCGAAGTGTAAGAAAAATGTAATAAGAAAAAGTTTTGATGAGGTTCACCAGAACCTGGTGTGATTAACTTATACTGCTAAAGCATTCTAATCTGTGTGAAATGGTTGTTTTTATCAACATTTACTTTATGGTAAAGTAATCACATATTTTCTTTTGTTTTTTGCTTGTCAATCTATTTGTTATTTCTAATCAGGGAAGAATCAGCAAAATAAACAATTAATTGAAGGCATAAAGACAGATGGTCTCAAACGAAAAATGCAGCCACTCTTGAATCGTCAAGAGGTTCTAGAAGCAAAGATGGATCGATTGAGCCTCCCAAAGGATCTAGAGAAAGTCTATGAAGAAATGAAAGAGATCAAGCAGAAATTGGCAGATATGGAGTAAGTAAATAGAGTAGGTAACATGTTAAAAATGCCAGCAAGGTGATCTCATAATCATGGTCAAATAGATGTGTTAGCATAGACTGGATCATGCTACAGCAGATATGGCAGCTATCCACTACAGGCTGTTCGTCTTCTTTGCTGACTTCACTAAAGCAATCTGCTGTGGTGAACAGTAACTAACATGTAAAACTAAATGTGATTTACTGAATATCTTGGCCTGGTGCTAAATTAACCAATCGGAACACACCACTCGTGAAGCTCATTCCACATGGCTTCCAACCAACTAGCTGAGTAATGCTACAGCTATGTAATGAATGGTAAGCAATATGAATTTGTTGAGCCAGTTTCCATCTTCAGGACAAACACTGTGATATGCATGTCACAATTATCTAATGCTGAATTTTCAATTTTACTATTGATGTAATACATCGTTGGTGTATATGCTCTGGCTAAAAAAGCCTCCTCATAGGCAAAGAAGAAACAAAGTGATTGGAAAAATTTCCAGACACTTCAAAGAAATTGGCTGTAAGTGCTCAGCATGGCCTATGCTAAAAAACACCTGTGCAATGTTTTCCCGCCAAATATACTTTGTTTATATCTTAAAACATGCAATCTACATATATGTTCCTCTTTTCTCTACAAAATGCATTTTCAGAAGAAAGTTACTAGGAAAGGGAGAGTAAATAATACAATTGCTGGTGTGCCTAATGTGATTATACAGAGTGTTCTGGTACTAACGTACTCAATTGGTGGAGAA